TGTCAATAGAGGGCGAACTGGATGTAGTACGAGCTTCTGCCGCTAGGGGGTGCGGCCTACATTCATAGTGAATCAGTGTGCGAGCCGGCATCATCGAATTAGCATTTGTTTCTTAGTTACGGGCGTTTTGGTAAATTGAAAATTCAGCTAAAGGGAAGGAGATTTGAGACGATAGAAGAGATTCAGGCAGAATGGCAGATGGTGCTTGACAGGCTGACAAAGAAAGATTTCCAGGGATGCTTCCAGGCTTGGCAGCGGCGCTGGGATCGTTGTGTTCACTCCCAGGGGAACTAATTCGAGGGTGATGGATGAATTTAATACCTGAGATAAGTGTACGGGTTTTTATACGCGCAGTCTTGAAACCTTCCGATCGCACCTCGTATTGCAATGCACATCAGCATAAGATTATACACAGATATATATCGATAAATTGTATAATTATTAATTCATGCTTCAAGCCAATCTCTTCTTCACACATTCTAGCACAATACACTGAAGAATTATTATCGGACTACTTGAGTAGCCCTATTACAAAACGCATTACTTTTCTCCAAACATTTTGTCGTTCTTAATTTACTTATCTAGTTAGTTTCATTCAAGTGTCTTTAATGCGGAGGCAGGAGTGGACAGGTACTGAGTTTGGTTTTTATTACGTATTAGCAGCGGTCAGTAACGTCGGGAATAATATTAAAATTGATCTTAAATAAACAGAATGAGAAGTCGAAAACTGGATTCATCTGGCTCAAGATGAAGACCGTAGGAGGGCTTTTGTGAATAAGATAAGTAACGTTTAAAGGAAAAAGAATTAAACATCTATATATATATTATTTATATAGTAACACGGAGGAGGGAATATATTCCGAAAATGTAGGTTATTATTGTTTGAATATATTAAGTTAAATGCGTGAATTGAAAACAGTTTCTGAGTTGGATATTAACCAGCAAAACATTCATCTTTTTGTCAGCGCTGTTATAAAGAATGTTTCACGTGTCCTTTTGCATAATGTTACACTTCTATATGTCATATTCTCCTCGTCGTCGCTGATAAAAGGAAGATATTCATATCTGCAGGTCCGAATATTTCATGTCTCAGACATTCTAACAGATTTCGATGGGTGTTCGTACTGGAGATGTATCGAAGGAATTTCATTTTGATGTCTCTCGGGGTCGCTGTAATTCCTACTTTGCAAGAAACTCGGGTCTGACTTAGGATTTTTCAAAAACATTTGATTGTTCTAAATATTGACGTATTACATAATACATAGTCCCACTGAAGATGTGCATCATTTAATTCGACGAAAAAATTATACCAAAGTTAATTAAATGAAACAAGATGTATATTTCTTTATTCAGCATCAGATCTTTAAAATAATTTAGGTTTCACATGAATTTTATTATGTATATTTCTGTTGATTAGATTTGCCACAACAACTTTAAATATGCAATAATATATAGTGCGCAGAGTAAAAATTAATAAACGTAAATGTCAGTAAAGAATATTAAATATCAAAGACGAATTTCTAATTTATGGGTTCTCCTAAATCTACTGAACTGTGCATCCAAGTTATAATTTAGTAACAAAAAACGTCCATTTTATTTCAGTGTTAAAGTGATTTGTATCTTATCTTCATCCCTTATCTGTTAGAATGTGTGTCTTGTGACGTCACGATAGACTTTAATATAAAAAAACACGGTTTTGAAATCTCGTGAAGGTCTTCGAAGTTTCTTCGCTGTCCATAATTGATCAACGGACAGTAATATGAAGATGGCTGTCTTCAAATTTGTAGCATTATAGTCTGGTAGACATTAACTGACGTTTTAAAGGAGCTTGCTGTCTCCATCATCAGGGTGATTAACCCTCTGAAACACAGCCATCTTTATAGTCGCTGCCAGAACCACAAAGAACATGGAGTATCAATTTACGTGAAAATTTGTTGTATTTTAATTACTGTCTGTTGATTACTTCTTTGATCAACATAGCTGTTAAATGTATAGTAATAATTACTGCGAATAGTGCCTAAGTCTACGTAAGGATTAAGAAGGAGACGATAATGGAATAATTCGGTATAATATTCTAGAATTTTTAAATAGTATGGAGAAAATCACTTAGAACCTCACGAAAGCAAGTAATTAGAGGTTCAGAGGCAAGTATTATCTGACTTAGAACTGAAAACTGAGTTTACATTAAAATTGTCAAAACTCAACGGCGAAATATTTTTATTTTTACATATATCTATAATTAATCGTACGGCCGTTACACGGTTTTTTGAATATAATACTCACAGTGAAAATTTCCATGTTTAACAACCAACACTACCTGGTGGTGCTGGAATTAAACTACGAGAAGTTACTTTGGTCGCATACTC